CACAGAATGTAAACGGCCCAATTAACAAGGTTATGCATGTGCTACATTACTTGCCGAATCCTAGCTGAAATTTAAACGTCTGTTGCAGAGTTCGAAGTTGAGCGCATCACCATTCAAAGTACTTGCTAAAATGGCCCCAAAGGTAACACTAATCTCTCCGTACACACTGTATTTAACAAATGTTTGAAGTGAAGTGAGAGTTATTATGGAAGAGAGAGAGAGAAGGCGGGGAGTGAGGAGTCTGATCGTGAAGCTTGTTATTGTTTGGATATAGTAGATATCAAGACCGGATGACATTTTTGAAGTGTACATCTTTTATAGAAAGTGCATGCATGGAATATCATATTGGATCTTTGTCGTATAGTAAGGCATCTAGAAGTCATGATCAGGCGAATACAATACCGCTCATAACTTGTGCAGAAAAAGTGATTTTACATAAAAATCTGTTGCGAGGCATTGCATCGTTATAAGTTTGAAATAGATATGTTTTGTGAGACTCAGCTCGTTTAGGAATATTAACACTCCCACGCAATGTTGACTTCCTACCGTTTCTAGTACACCTTGGATGCTACTGTATGTGGCACACCTTAAGATTCGTTTGGGCGAGCTGAGTCTAACACCTTCTTGTCCCCTCAAAAAATAACCACTCTGGAAATATGACAATGCAACTCTTGAGACGGAATTTTGTGTTTGATTCAGAAGTAATATTATGTAATACAGAAGCGGTATTGTATTTGATTCGTTGATGCATAGTTATGGCAGCCTAATAACCCACCTTCAATAATACTTTGGTACTGCAAGTGATGTGAGTCAAACTTTCCTTGAGTTAACGTGGTCAACGCTTTAAGGTAAGCATGCGCTTAGCGCATAAAGTAGTCTACGTTTATGTTAACATTTTGAAAATGACTTGGTGCTCAAGTTGAGAGAGTCAGAATTCTGTAACTTCATTGTTCCTACTTTGAAGTAATTCACTCCAGCATTTCTTTGTTTTATACCATCAAAGATGAAACCCAATTCTTTAGTGCTCAGAAATTGGAAAGCGCTTGTCGCCCTCCGCACCCGAGATAAACGTGCAAAAGAACAGTGCCGTACAACCGCAAGCAACGGCGAA